TCATCCCCCGCCCGCAATGCGCAGCTTCCTACCCCACCCCCCCAAAAAAAAATAGTCATCTGTGAACGAAACTGCGACGAGGGCACAGTTATTACAGCTGACAATGATGACGATGATGAGCTGGAACAAACGCAGATGAACCAACTCCCAATGTCCGATCCTGGCGTGTCCCATACCATGACGTTCTTCATCAACTCCGACGCCCTCTACGTGAGGTCGCCACCAGATAGCTCGGAACATAAATTGATGCAATACACAAGTTATTTACTCTTTTACTGTGTTCTTAGTTCGTCCAGACAAACTATTTTTGGTACACCGACGAATAAAAAATACGCGGATATGCGCAAACACAAAACAAGAGCAGTGAGCGAGCACATAATTTCTTGATAAGCTGCTTACAGGTCAAAATCATGATCACATAAGCAAGAAAGAAAATCAAGTTCAGCCGCGATTAAAACATACATTAACCCTCCCCCTCCGGGATTGTGCCAGTAGATACTCATAGGGAACGGGACGAAAACAAAGCTTACCAAAATAAGCATCTTAGTCGTCCCAGCCTACGTAGTTGGAACAGAAAACAACTAGCAATCGCATTAGACAAGAAAGTAACACGAAGTGGTACACATGATCAGATGAATAGCACAGAAGTGGGGGAGCGTAGGGAAAGACAACTCGAACAACGTGTTAGTTATCGCATTCCTAACTGCTCGACTCAGGAGCCAAACGGACGAAAGGTGAACGGACACAGCTTCGTTAGAGTTACAGGCTTTGTGGAAGTATAGGTTCGACTTACTGAAACAAAGTGCCTTGTATATGGAGTGCCTATTCATATGCATCTCATGAATCCTCGTTTAATTCGAGAGTCGTCCCGATAGCGTATTTATTTGGCCGTCCAAATTAGACAGGTACTGTCCCAGGAGCCGGTTGCGACCCCGATCCCACACTCAGAAATGACCACACTTGCCACGCGGTTTTCATGGGCTGAAAGAATGCCAACACGCTCTTCACGAAGCAGATCCCATACGTGACAGTTGTAATCATCATATCCAGCGATCAACAGGCGACCAGATTTCGAGACTGCCACACTCGTGCTGCCACATTTGATGAAATCATCTATGTAGACTCCAATGGCTTGATCAGCCCGGATATCCCAAAGACGGCAGGAGCCATCGTCCGATGATGAAGCAAAGGCGTAAGAATTTATAGGGAAAAAATCTACGCCGTTGACATCCAACTGATGGCCATCAAAGTATTGCACTGCACCACTAGAACGTAAATCCCATAGCCGACATGTGTGATCCGAAGAAGAAGAAACAAAAGTGTTCGGCATCTGCTTGGAATTGGCCACCGCTGTAACATCATTGGCGTGGCCCCGAAATGAAGTAATGATTTTGCCGTTCTCAATGTCCCAATGGGCACATGTCTTGTCTCCGGAACAAGTTAATAAGTGCTGATCGTCCAAGAACCGGAGACAGCCAACATAACCCGTGTGACCGGCCATATCGCGGACAAATTTTGCCGAGCTATCGCGAGATTTGAGACTGAATATAGACACAAGGTTATCCAACCCACCGCTTGCAACAAAATTCAGTGAAGGTGAGAAAGCACATCCCAGAACCCAAGCCGTCTTAAGAGGTATCATATGCGCCTTTTTCCCTGTGTAGGTGTCCCAAACAATCAGTTTACCATCTTGAGATGCGGAAACAAGAAGTTGGCTGTCAGAACCCCACTGAACACAGGTGACTTTGGTTAGATGCCCACGTAGGTGTTTCCGAACCTTGAATTTGATTCTGCCCAACTCTAGGATATGTTCGGTCATTTTGTAAAAATCAGTGTCGGCAACAGCCTTCCGTGCGTTTTCTAACGCTGCTTTGCACGCAATGAGTTCATTCTCCAAAGCTCTCTCCTCATCCGACATCACGTCTTGATGAGACTGCGCATCTCCAGGAGCCATAGCGTTGGGTAACTCAGTATCTGGTCTTATGTGGTCCATGGTGTGGTGGGAGTAAACAATCCAGTTAGTTTTCAATCACAATGCAGATTAGGCCATTCGAGAAAACATAGTTCCCGGAGCCGCCAAGAAAACAAAGACCCGCCGGACGAAGACTCCATCCGACGTTTGCACTGGACCGTTCGCGCTCACAGTAGACGAGCGCCGTCTGCAATCCCATTGGTTCGCTAAAAATCAATAGGCGATAGCCAATGCATGGTAGCCAATCAGAACGTGAAGTCGTATGTGATCGAAGACACGCTCACGTTCCGCGCATCTGGCCGGTGGGTGGGTATATCTAACCCTCACTTGGCCATAGCCTGTCCGTACGAGACGAAAGCCAGGGTAAACCAGCCGTTTCACTATCAGTGCACTGGTTAGTGTTCTCTGATCGCAGCTCGTGTGACCGGTCGGCGCCAGCCCACCCGTTTGGTGGCACGATGCATCGGATGTGACTCGGCTCAAAGGTGGTGTCAACACCGTACTGTCAAGAGCACTGCGAGGCACTTCTAACGATGCGTGGTTCAGTGTGTTCGGATTCGCATGAAACTTCGCTGAAACAGTGAGGGGAAACTGCCAACCTTGGTTTGTCTAACTGACTGGAATGTATTTCAGCGATACACTGACCCTGTCGAATGAGGACCATTCTTCCGTTTAGGCCCCTTTGGAACATACCAAGGAAGACCTATGGCAGTCTAGGTTAAAAGTAGCTCATTTCCGAATGATGCTATTTCGACACCTTACGTGTATATGTTTTTTGTCCACGGATTTGTCAGAAAAGCGCTTGGATCATATGTACCCAACAGAAGCGAATGCAGGAAACCTGCCGACATTATGCTTGCTGCTACAGGCGCTATCGCAGTTTGGCTCAGAGGAAATGTTGCCGGTGTGAAGTTTCGGGATTATTATTTGATTCTAGTTCGCACAAAGTTCAGGAAATTGGGCATTAACAGAGTGAACAATGCTAAAACAATGCATCAATAATAGGAATTTCGGTGTGTATTCTGTTTTCACTGTCAGCGTGACGGAAAGTCCGCTTCATATTGTCAGTAGTATGTGACTGAATAAACGTCTAGCTGCGAATAACAAGCTGTGCAGAGTTACCCTTAGGTACGTTTTCCTTTCGCAACTTGGTCAAGTAGATGCTGGTTTTCAGGAAACGTATGTCGTAATGTAATTACGCATTTAGCTCTTTCGACTCGTGGGCCGGATATTTCCTTAGAAGCAGAAAAGTTGTTAAGTAGACGCACGATCCGAAACGACCCATGGAGCCAACAGATTAACACAAACCGACAAAAGCGTGGTGTTTATCATGTCTCCAGCGCGCATTTCAAGGTCAAGTTGACCGAAAAAAGGGACTCATAGTAACGAACTTATTATTGTTATATTCCTCGCAGTTTTGCTTGCTGTGTGCAGCTTCTGTGTTTTCAGACCATCCGGTGGATATATATGCACGAAAACAAGACTCACGATATCAGACTACTGGTTTTGGCTATCGCAGACACTGACCGCTGACCTAACACAGGTACTACGAGTTGTAGTTTAAGGCAGCCTAGAATTCTCCATCGATTTGTTCATAATACTTGATATTTCTCACATAGCACTACCCGCTTGTCGTTGAAATGTATTGCGTTCGGAAGTGACCGCAGTCAGTCGCAAGCTGATAGACCTTAGCTACAAATCTACTGCCTCGACCATACTCGTGTTCACACGAGAGCACAACTTGAGCTTAAGTGCAAACCAGTCTACAATGATGAACAAAGTAATTAGGTTGCCAAAATGGAGACTGACCAGTGCAGTAAACAAATACAGCGTTGACACCCAAATGCGTAACACGACATTGATAGAGAAACAAGAATCAATTACTTGCAAAATCACACCGATGCACACATCTGTATTCACGGCCAATGTCTTTGCAAACAAATTATAAGGGTTAGTCGGTAAATACCCTAATCCGTAAATCCTACATTTCATGCAGATTGTATGCTACGGTGACCAATGCTCAGAGAGAATTTTTTCTAATAACTGTTTCTTCACAGATTGCTTCGTCAAACATCAAGTCCCAAACTTGACACTGTGAACCGGAAGTAGTTCACAATTCCGCAAGTATATCGCCATCGTTCTTAAGCCTCTAATCTTTTCCGCTTGGTCGAGCTGCGACGATGACAAAGTCACCATGGCTTTATTTTGAAATATGTGACGGTACTTTCACTAATGCTGCTAACTGCAGTCCTTGTGCCAATAAAAGATTACGCCCCCAAGGCCTGTGTAGGCGTTCAAGCCCTCGATATAGGGTCAAATAAGACTGACAGCATTTGGCCGATAATAGTTACATCTTTCACTGCCTCTCTAACTCGGTCCTCTCCGTAGCAACCTCTCTTTGAAACAACCGAGGCGTATGTTCCAAAATGTTCCCCCAAGCCTAACTGCTAAGTGAGACTCCTCTCTAGTCCCACATACAAACCGCCTTTTAGCATGTTGAACTTCTGCCGTCGGATTCCTAAATTCCGACTAGCGTTAGCATTGCATCCGTGATCAGAATTCAAAAGTGGAGCCTTGATATGCACACAGATCAGGCAATGTTCATTGGTGTGTTGTTTCTGCAAACCATCAATGATAACCTTCCAGCTGCACGCTACAAAGAATCTCGCAATTCCTGTTCACATCTATCAAAGATCTTGTGGTTTGAAGGCTTCAATCGCGTATTCCTTGGCTATGATTTTGGTCACCGGCTTGATTTAGTTTCTTAATGAAGAGTGAGAAGGAGACATAGCACCCTTCGACAGTGGTAGGCAACGCAGTGCCGTCATCCCCGTTACCAGTATTCAGAGGGCGTTTGGCGACCAGTGGAGTATGGCATAGCGTTCCTCCATGTGAGTAGCTTATGAGTACTGCGATTCAGTCTTACCCGTCATTTCAGCCTCGGATTTAGCCGACGTCTTATGATGTTCTTGCACACCTCTTTCTAGACTTACAGAGGAAGGATTGTGGGACCAATCAGGGATACAAAACTTATACAAATTAAGAATGGTGGCTTGAATTCTTAGTATTGGACGAAACAGATCCAGTCCACGAGTTATCAGCCGACTGAACAAGATAAATACCCACGCTTGCCTGTTGTATACGAAAGACTAATTCACAATAGACTGCACGATTGACATGGATGCATTTTTTTTTGCAAAATTATGTTCAGCAATTGAAAGCGAGATCCAGAAGCCTGAGGCGACAATACCACTTTTGAAAGTAGTTTTTTACTGTGTTGTATACCGAAATCAGATGTGTTGTTACCACACGTACACGAGACGCACCTTGCCGTGAAAAAAAATACGGAAGGTGTGAAAAAAAGTTGGAATTGTGCGATTCACAATGCACAGTTTGACGGTTTTAGCCATTATTTTTATTATGCAACCCAAACCAATTTTGTCTGAAGTCGATAACTTTGGAACCCAACATCTAGCAATCGATCGAGTCACCCTGATGGGTCATATAGCCGCATTTTTACTGAGGAAATTGGAAAACTGGTGCTACTTTCGGCTTTAAGATACCCTTTGAGTGAACTTAATTTCAAACAAATTTGGGATACAGGAGCCTATTTAGACGGTTAATCAAATTATATACTAATATTTGCGCCAGTGACTGAAAACGTTTATGATTTATCCCAACCGACCTAGAGTGGTGCACCAGTCGGTCTGAAATCCCCGACCGATAATTTACCTTCTCTTGAATGCTGAGTAATGGCCTAGTAACCGCTAGCAACGAATTCTGGCCACTTCCATCATGAAACCGCAACTGTTGTCACCAGACTCGTTTTAAACAGAATATGTTCAGCAAAGTGCTTTTGAAAGTCCATTTTATGTGGCGCACCCAATCCTTGTTTTTAATATCTAACTGACAAATAACATCTGACAACAACGAAAATCGCCATATATAATGCGGGTGACCCAAGATCTGGCATTACAAAGACACCACGAAATATGCTAAAGAATTTGGCATGTATACGTTACGTACGGAGATGAGTGTTAGCTAGTCAGGGTCGTTGGCTATCACTCAGAGGTTCATGCCATAGTAAACCGGCCTTCGATGCAATATCCCCAAAACACTTACATTCCACTGTTTTTTGGAAAGCTAGGTGGTAGTAAATCTTACCTATTGATTGCTGTTACAAAGTGGTTACGTAAACTTGCCTGCATGTTTCGGAATGTAAGATGTCTGATCGTACCGGTCTCAGAATCAACAGTTGTTATTTAAAATCTACTTTACGGTTACCCTGTTAGTTTTGTACCGGAATTCCTGTTGGATACATAGTAAAACAGGAAATCTGTTTCCTCACCTTTTCCGACATCAATGTTACTATCCACTTCCAAGCCAGAGGACTGGCACTTTAACCCCTCGTGTTAGGTGCCGATCTGTTCCCTTTTTCCTTTCTCCGCCGAGCTAAATTAATAATCAATAAAGAGGAACAATGAACATAATTTACTGTAAATATGTGGAGTATGAAAAGTACTGGTATGATAGATGCTCACTGGATTTCATCACCGAAGGAAAGCCTGAAGTTACAAATTTCAAGTTCTCTCATTACTCATCTACAATGCGTCCCAATACGTCATTCCGATTAGGTCGTCCCATCGTATCCTTCACATACTTATTTCCCCATGCGTTGCTCTTGGCCTTTATAGCTCATTTTAGCTTTTCATTAGTGAGTACTTGGCTTTTGATCAGATGATCTGTTTGCAAATCATAAATACGGTGGTTCTGATCACCAGTCGGTTGGACAACCGAGGCTCATTCCGATTCGTCCCATCGTATCCTTCACATACTTATTTCCCCATGCGTTGCTCTTGGCCTTTATAGCTCATTTTAGCTTTTCATTAGTGAGTACTTGGCTTTTGATCAGATGATCTGTTTGCAAATCATAAATACGGTGGTTCTGATCACCAGTCGGTTGGACAACCGAGGCCCGTCTGGGTAAATGGCTTGTACCGAATCGGTGCAGCTGTATCAGAATGTTAGTCGATATCCGCTAGAAGACAACCAAAGTT